ACGCGTTTGGTGTGGTTGAAGTTTAAGTAGTCATACTAAATAATACCTACACGTACCTACTAAGAAAAACTAAACTGTGATCTTATTCTTAAGTCAGATTTTTATTTCATAAGTCAGATACGTGAGTTTGATTACAAAAATGAGACTTTTTGGAAATCCATGGGGGAGGCCTTTGTCCAGCAGTGGATGTCAGTGGACGTCACTCGGCTGAAACGAACTAAAACAAATTAGCGTTGAATACTCTTCTAGAGCTACCAATATAACACTACCATCATGCATGATAGAGTCAGTCAATAAGTAGCTAGGTCGGTACGTAACTAAGAGTAGGTACCTACCTACTCCTAGTTGCTACACAATACATGATCATTAAATCATTCTTGTCTTATAAAAACACCAGCTATCCAAAATATTATTTTAAAAACCTTCATTGTAAATTAAAAATACCAATAATTTTTTTTTATTTTTATTTTTGTTGCCGTTTATATTAAACAATGAGATTTTTTAATATTTAACTAATTTTAGATTTATAACCTTTAGTTACTCAAAAATTCAAGAGATCATTGAAAATTATATTTTTTTATCAAACGAATAAAAGCAGTTTGTTTGCCGGCTGCAACTGCACAAAATTACAAGGCAATATGCTGCCACCTATCGACGATGAGACGAATCTCTCGATTATACAAAGTATGAGTATACGCCATCTATTGTCGAGGTGTGCAAGACAAGAAAAGCACCACAAAACCAAATATTTGATGTTACTAACTTCCGCTAGATGACAGTAATCCGTAATTCGTTTGTTTTTCTTTATTCTAGTAGGTATATTGTCGTTATCTTTTTTGTGGGAGCAGTTATTAGCGTATAGACATAGTCCTTTCGTTTAATTTCTTATTGTTTGTTACTGTATCTCATGTTGATAAAAAATTTAATAAATAAATATTAGTACGATGGATAAAACTCTTAACTTTTATTCTACCTTAATAAAAAAAAACGCAAAACTTTTGGTATCACAAAATAATTATTTTATTGTTCATCACACACAATCGGCACACATGGTTCCATACAAAAAAATACACACTTTTTATTACTTAGTATTAATTTTCTTATAAAATTCATTTTATTTAAATAGAAAAATACATCCTTAACATTGTAAATATTTGGAATTCATATTACTTAGATGACAATTAGTTATTTTTAAGGCACCTATATCTAAAATAATTTAATTCCATATTGGCTTAACGAAAGGCAATTACGAGTATTTTAGGGAAATAATTCATTCATTCGATTTTGTTCATGCATCTCATACCAGCATTGCAAAATGTTAGCTCGTTGTACAATTTTTTCCTATTTGAAAAGGTGGGATGTGAACGAGATATATCTGGATAATTTTTTTTTTGGGTTAGTAGTAGTTTCGCACGATTTTCCTTCGCACGAATGTGCGAAACTACTACTAACCCAAAATTTTGCATGGCGTTCGACCATACATGTCTATAAACACAGTTTATGTTTATTCCCGTTTCGATTCTAGCCCAATCATTGTAAATCGTAAAATCCATAACTAAACCTTAATCTACGAATAACTTCATTCTGACAGATTATTTCAAAATTAGCAAAATTACAAATATAATTATCAGTCTGTAATACCAGGCCATGGTTATTAACAATAAAGAGCTTTTTGTCTCTAGCCCGAATTTTTGAGTCTAGAATCTAGACTAGACTAGACCTAGCTGGACTAGAATGTATCTAGACTCTAGATACATTCTACTCCAGCTAGGCACCGCTACGTCCAAGCCCCGGCGCTGTGCGTGCGCTGCGCGCGCGCTATCTCGTGTCGCAGGCGCCGCTCGCGCGCGCACGCCTCCCTGCGCGCCGCCTCACGGTCGCTAGCCGCCGCAGCCTGCTGCTGCTGCACTCGGAGGCTGTTGAGCTGGGACTGGAGAGACGCCATGGTGGATGGTAGATTTACTAGAGCGTCTTTTCTTAATACGGGCATGAGTTTCCATTGCCAGCCTCTTTATCAAAGGAGTTTCGTTTGTGATGCGTTGCAGGCTAGGTAGTTTCATGAATTTACTCGTTCTTTTCTTATACACTGATCCAAGTGCCCAGGGCCCCTAGTAGGTTAAAGACGGCCCTAAGGGGGAGTATCATATTCACTAGGTCGTCTTTTCTTGATACGGGCTTCAGTCTCCATGGTCATTCTCTTTCTCAAAGGAGTATCGTTTGCGATGCGATGCGGGCTAGGCAGTTATATGAATTTACTCGTTCTTCTCTTATTTACAGAATGTAAAAATACCATTTCTCTAAAGTCAAAAAGTTCATTGTAAAATTATTCTATATTGAAAAATACACAGTTTTACCTATAATAGTAGACCAATTGACAAAGGTGGCCAATTTACTAGGGTATCAAAGAGACCATGACCATGACCATAACCATGACCGTATACTAACACAGTATATAGTAGCTAAGAGTCTGAATTCTCACATCTATACACTCATTCTAGTCCAGTAAGGCGCCCGCTACGTCCAAGCCTCGGCGCTGTGCGTGCGCTGCGCGCGCGCTATCTCGTGTCGCAGGCGCCGCTCGCGCGCGCACGCCTCCCTGCGCGCTACCTCCCGCGTTATATTCACTAGGCAGTCTTTTCTTGATACAGGATTCAACCTCCATGGTCATTCTCTATCTCAAAGGAGTATCGTTTGCGATGTGATGCGGGCAGCGGGCTAGGCAGTTATATAAATTTACTCGTTCTTTTCTTATACGAGCGACGCCATGGTGTGGTGAAGTATGATAGACTTACTAAGGAGTCTTTTCTTAATACGGTCTTGAGTTTCCGTTGTCAGTCTCTCTCTCAAAGGAGTATCGTTTTCGATGTGATGCGGGTTAGGCAGTTTCGAGTTATACTGAGTAGACCAATTGACAAAGGTGGCCAACTTGATAGGGTGCCAAAGTGAGCATGACCATGACCATAACCATGACCATAACCATGACCATGACCGTATAGTAATACAGTCTATAGTAGCTAAGAGTCTGAATTCTCACGTCTATACACTTATTCTAGTCCAACTACCCGCTACGTCCAAGCCCCGGCGCTGTGTGTGCGCTGCGCGCGCGCTATCTCGTGTCGCAGGCGCCGCTCGCGCGCGCACGCCTCCCTGCGCGCCGTCTCACGCTCGCTAGCCGCCGCAGCCTGCTGCTGCTGCACTCGGAGGCTGTTTAGCTGGGATTGGAGAGACGCCATGGTGGAGTATTGTGGACTTACTAAGGAGTCTTTTCTTAATACAGGATTCAATCTACATGGTCATTCTCTTTCTCAAAGGAGTATCGTTTGCGATGTGATGCGGGTTAAGCAGTTTCGGGTTATAGTAGACCAATTGACAAAGGTTGAACCATGACTGTATAGTAACACAGTCTATAGTAGCTAAGAGTCTGAATTCTCCCCTCTATAAACTTATTCTAAAGCCTGGTCCGTGAGCACGTAGAATTTTGTCCAATGACCCCAAGCTACCCATCCTTATCGCTCGCGCGTAATTATATTGCTGTCGCGACTGTGCGACGCGCGCCCGCAGTGAGTGTGCGAGCTTGGGTTCATTGGACAAAATTCTACGTGCTCACGGACCAGGCTTTAACACTCCTCATTTTTTTCTTTCGACTTGAATCCTGTATTGCTCTCTCTCTCTCTCTCTGTCTTCTAGCAAGTACCCGCTACGTCCAAGCCTCGGCGCTGTGCGTGCGCTGCGCGCGCGCTATCTCGTGTCGCAGGCGCCGCTCGCGCGCGCACGCCTCCCTGCGCGCCGCCTCACGCTCGCTAGCCGCCGCGGCCTGCTGCTGCTGCACGCGCAGGCTGTTAAGCTGGGATTGGAGAGACGCCATGGTGGAGTATCATATTCACTAGGTCGTCTTTTCTTGATACGAGATTTAGCGCAGGCTGCCGAGCGCAGACTGGAGCGACGCTATGATGGATGGCAGATTTACTAGGGCGTCTTTTCTTACTACGGTCTTGAGTTTCCGTTGCCAGTCTCTTTCTCAGGAGTTTCGTTTGCGATGCGATGCAGGCTAGACAGTTTCATGAATTTACTCGTTCTTTTCTTATACGAGCGAGGCCATGGTGGAGTATGGTGGACTTACTAAGGTGTCTTTTCTTAATACGGTCTTGAGTTTCCGTTGCCAGTCTGTTTCTCAGGAGTTTCGTTTGCGATGCGATGCGAGCTAGACAGTTTCTTGAATTTACGCGTCTTTTTCTTATACAGAGAATAAAAATACATTTTATCTAAGATCAAAAAGTTCATTGTAAAAAAATACACAATTTTGCCTATAGTAGACCAATTGACTAAAGATGGCCAACTTGATAGGGTGCCAAAGAGACCATGACCATAACCATGACCATAACCATGATCATAACCATGACCATAACCATGACCATAACCATGACCATAACCATGACCATAACCATGACCATAACCATGACCATGACCATAACCATGACCATAACCGTATAGTACACAGAGACGGAATTCTCACGTCTATACACTCATTCCAGTCCAACTACCCGCTACGTCCAAGCCCCGGCGCTGTGCGTGCGCTGCGCGCGCGCTATCTCGTGTCGCAGGCGCCGCTCGCGCGCGCACGCCTCCCTGCGCGCCGCCTCACGGTCGCTAGCCGCCGCGGCCTGCTGCTGCTGCACTCGGAGGCTATTAAGCTGGGATTGGAGAGATGCCATGGTGGATGGTAGATTTACTAGAGCGTCTTTTCTTGATACGGGCTTCAGTATCCATGGTCATTCTCTTTCTCAAAGGAGTATCGTTTGCGATGCGATGCGGGCTAGACAGTTTCTTGAATTTACTCGTCTTTTCCTATACACAGTGTAAAAATACCATTTCTCTAAAGTCAAAAAGTTGCTGAGCTGGGATTGGAGAGATGCCATGGTGGAGTGTGGTGGACTTACTAAGGTGTCTTTCTTAATACGGGCTTGAGTTTCCGTTGCCAGTCTCTTTCTCGGGAGTATCGTTTGCGATGCGATGCGGGCTAGACAGTTTCTTGAATTTACTCGTCTTTTCCTATACACAGTGTAAAAATACCATTTCTCTAAAGTCAAAAAGTTCATTGTTAAATCATCCTATATTGAAAAATACAGTTTTACCTATAGTAGACCAATTGACAAAGGTGGTCAACTTGATAGGGTGCCAACTGTCAAAGTGACCATGACCATAACCGTGACCATGACCATAACCATGACCATAACAATGACCATAACCATGAAAGTCTGAATTCTCGCGTCTTTGTAGCTTAATTCTCTTCCAACTACCCGCTACGTCCAAGCCTCGGCGCTGTGCGTGCGCTGCGCGCGCGCTATCTCGTGTCGCAGGCGCCGCTCGCGCGCGCACGCCTCCCTGCGCGCCGCCTCACGGTCGCTAGCCGCCGCGGCCTGCTGCTGCTGCACTCGGAGGCTGTTTAGCTGGGATTGGAGCGATGCCATGGTGGAGTAGGTGGCGTTTTTCAGCTGGAATTAAAACAATACAATGAGGGCTATCGTTTTAGCGCTCACCAGTTAGCGCCACTGTAGAGTAAGGTCCTGTCACTTGCTAGTAGCGAAGACAGTGGCACCAACTGGTGAGCGCTAAAGTGGTAGGAGGACTATCGCATTTGCACTCATCAAGATGGCGCCACTGTAGAGTAAGGTCCTGTCAATCGCCAGGGGTGCCAACTGTTAAGTATAAAAACGATAGCCCTCATTATTGAGTTAATATAGTTTTTGCCTTCCTTTGCCGCGTGTGTCCTTTCCACATAGCACATTGTCACATTTTCCCCGAGTGAAATAGGCTATATCTTTCTAACACAGGTAGGTCAAAAATATATAGCCTATTTCACTCAGAAAAAAATGTGGTTTTCTACGGATGAAAGTATTTTAACTTTTCACCCACGCTTCAACATCGTTAAAGGCGTAAAACTACAAGTAGAAAACGTCGTAGTTTCAAGACCCACTTACAATCGTGACATCTCTATTCGAAATCTTTACGGAACGAAGAAACTTCGAATGTCACGTTTCTTGTATTGTCTGTCTAAGCCCTATGAAGTAGTATATTTGATCATGTTAAATTATTGAAACAGCAAAGGAAAATTACCATTTTTAAGAATCACTAAACCACGAGTATACCAACCTGAGTCTCCCTTTCCCTAGACCGTACTTCCTGGTGGAAGCCGTCCATGTCTTCGAGAATTTTCTCTCGTTCCAGAACGTTCTCCTTCTGCTGCTGTCGGTTCGCTTCTATCTTCTCTTCCAGCTGTCTTCTCAGTGTCGATATCACCTCGTTCATGAGTATCGATCGTGCATCTCTTTCTTTGGCCCACAGCTGTAAACATTAATATTTAATAATAGTACTCCATTAGAAAACATTGTCAAACGTTGAGATTAGTATGGTTAGTAGTATGGTTTTGATGCCCCTTTGCACGTGGGTGTAGTTGAAATATCTCTAAAAAATACTACAACAGTGTCGCTATTGTTTCACAGACCACTTTCACACAATTTTCTTTTTAACATCAGTGTGCTTACCATGAGTTTACGTTAGGTGTGCTCGCTAGCGACTGCGTAAAAAATGACATCAAATGTATGAAAGACCAGCTTTCCGCCCGCAGCTTCGCGCGCGTGGGCCCCTGAACCCTATGTTATTCCAAAATAAAATTTAGCCTATGTTACTCGTGGATAATCATAATGTAGCTTTCGAATGGTGAAAGAATTCTTTAAATCGGCCCAGTACTTTTTGAGCCTATTCATTACAAACATACAAAAATAGGCACAAATCTTTCCTCTTTATAATATTAGTATAGATTGTACAGCGCCCCTAGCGGCTACTTTCAAGAACTAAAATCTTTATAGATTTTTTCGACGCACTCGCTATCGAGTACACCTAACGTAAATTCATGGTAAGCACACTGTTTAAAACCTACAAAACAAATGAATAATGNAAATAATTATAATGAATACAAATTAAAACTTACCTTATCTTGTTTCTCGTTTATCTGCCTCGCTTCGCCGTCGTACATAGCCTCGATGTTCTTCTGTCTTTGTCTCTCCTTATCCTTGTACTCTTCTAACTCGCGTAGCGCCGTATCAAGTACTCTTTTATAGCTGGCCGACTTTTCTTGTTCTTTTCCTAGATCCTGAAAAAAAAGTTCTTGTAAGATAGAAAATTTAATAAACAAAAACAACAACATAAATGTGACTCCTTTTAGTTATGGAATCGTAAAATTATGGCTGTACCTATATTCAAAGTTAGACCCCCTTGGGCCTTATTACAAAAAGTTAATCTCTAGTTTAAACTGACATTTATTTAGTATGTAAATGTCATTTTAAACCCGTGTTTAATAAAATAAGGCCCAGAACATTCGACCAAATAAAATAGTTCTAAAGAGTACCTTTACAACAGCTCTTCTTATCTTCGCCAGCATATCCAAATCCAACTCAATCTCCTTCAGCACAGAGATCACCTTCCTCTTCAACTTATACTTGTGCAGGCCCATGTTCACGATATTTGCGTCTCTTTCCGCCACCAGTCTCGCGTGTTCTTTTTCTCTTTCACTCGATATGAACTGTAGCTCGTCTAGTATCATCTTCTCTCTCTCTTCTGCTTTTCTTAGTTTATTAACGATCGACTCTTTTTCTGAAAACTCAGCTATTTGCCCTTCGAGACCTTCGCGAAGCTCCTGGAAAATATAAAATGTATTTCTATAAACATAGGAACATAGGGCATATGATTTGTATAAGAACCGGTTGGCGCCTTCCTACTACCTTTTTGTGAGGTCGTCTGTCCACCTTCATCTACATCGTTTACTAAGGATCAAATATGCCGAAAATTTCGAACACCAACTAAGATGACTAAAAACCAAGGAGATATTTTACTCATCAACATCTTTCAGCCATAGGACGTCCACTGCTGAAAATAGGCCTCCCCCAATGATTTCCATTTCAGCCACAAGACGTCCAATGCTGAACATAGGCCTCCCCCAGTGAACATATCGCACGGTTGGTAGCGGTCTGCATATTTTACTAAATATACGACACCAGCTATGTTACGAAATTACATCCCGACGTGATCACGCACAATTTATATCAATTTATATTCTAACATAGTTTTAGTTCATCATCATTGTGGGATATGATGCTCAACCACAATAAGGAAGCTAGGTGTTAGTGCTTCCTTCCGAGCGGGTGTTGTGCTCGGGGACCAAGGTCCGATTTACACCATCTTGGTTTGTCTATATGTACTTGGCAGGGTAGAAAACTCCGTCACCGCGATGCAGGTTTGTATGAGCGGCGGAGTGTGCCATAGTGCAGTCGTAACAGCGCCATCTGTTGGTACACGTTTGTAGTGGCGCATCGTAGATGTCGCCACAATCATCAATAATCATCTTATTCTTTGATATATGTTTTGACTCATGCCTTTTCTACTTCCCTATTCTTTAAATATACCTATTCCCTTACCCTCATTTGGCGCTCCTTGTCCCTCAGCCTGTCTTCTTCTATCTGTATCTGGCGGCGCAGAGCCTCGTCTCTCTCTTGCAAAATCTTTATGTTTTCTTCCTCTTCTTTTTTCTTTTTCATTTCTTTTTCTACGATTTGCTCCAACCTTTAAATGAAGAAGGAATGCCTTTTACTCTATTCGAATAATAAATGTCTTCTGGACTGAATGATAGATAGACTTGGCTACATGTAAAAATACATTTTTTTTGAGCAGATTTAAGTCAATAAAACATAAACTTAAACAAAGATATGGCGCAGGCTAATTTTATCAACTTATAAAAAAATCAATTGATTCAGATAGTAATTAAAAGGAGTAAGCGCAGGTTCAATTCCCACCCGGGCCAACCGACTTTTTTAAGTTTCATCAAATTTATGAGAGATACATCTCTTATAATAAAAAAATCCTAATAACAAAGGATGTGTCCTTTTATAAGTTGACGGAACAGTTATAGTGACCGCGGTAACGTGTGGGTGTCGAGGTGAGCGTGGGCGCTCGTTAATCTTGCAAACGCCGACCTTAGTAAATTAGAGCAGGCATTGCACTGCTTACAAACATTATACTGAGATTTAAGAACAAAATAATACCTATTTTTTTTAAAACTATTATATTATAAAAGCAATCAGACTTCTCTTCCAGTCAACATTCGGTTCAACCAGAAATTACTGGTGGTACATGATTTTTAATTCTTTTAACGTAATTTTTTCAGAACTTTTTAATTTTTATGCCATGTCTTTGATATCTTTTAGTAGCAGTTCAGTACGCAATTTGTAGCTTTGGCTAATTTTACAACACTAAATATCTTTCTGATGGAGTTTTACATAAAAAAGATATACAATCTTAGAAAAGTACATAAAAATAGCACAAAAAATTTAAGATAAATAAATCGCTCTTGAAATCCTACCATGCAGACTTGCACTTCCCAGCAGCAATGTATGAGCTGGCAGCTCTCAGCTCCGGTTGCCTCAATCGCCACGCGTGGTGCAGTCTCAGCTCAGCCTCGTGCCTTCTGAGCTGCTCTTCCTTCGCCATGATGCCTTGGTTGATCTCTTGCAGAGTGGAGGTGGGTATTTTGTTGAGGTAGGAACTGGAAATGTTTCAGAAGTTGATCATAGAATGTGTTGGATAATCATTATAAGCTTACTGTAGCTTAAGCCATTGCCATTTTAATCTGATTTAAGAAAAACAAAAACCTATGTATTAGTTTTTTGTTATGCTAACGTTAAGTGTATCGAAATACTCACATTAAAATGTTTGTTAATCTGGCAAAATGTTTTTTTCATTACTTATTGAATTTTTCAAATCCATAAAAATATATGTTAAATAAATATGTTTAACAAGAAAATAATTAATTATGAATGTCTTATTTACTTACCCATTTTTATAGTATTTAGGTTGTGCACCCAGTGTCTTCAACTCTTGCTGATATTGCATGTTTTCTTGAAACAACATCAGCTCCAGTTTTTTGCGGCGTTCTTCTAATTGACTGCATAAGAAAGAAAATATTAATGTTTCCTTTTTTCTCCCAACAGGGTATCAATAAAAAATAAACGTCATCAACTTACGCAGCTCGTATTTTCCTTTCACTCAGTTCCACTGCCTCTTTGTTCGCTTTCTCATAGTACCCTTCTGTCGTCCACTGCTCATGGTGCCGTGACTTATTTGTATTGGCCTCAAAGTAGTTTGCAATCTGTAAATTAAAATTAACGGTAAAAGAAGACATTATAACTATCAGATTTTCCAGGTCTGGTTGAAAAATACTTTTCAATTCTTCCTACCTTCTTGGAAATAAAACAAATTACTGTTGTCAAAACCCAAATAAGCTTCTGGACTATTTATGCACAATCTTCTATATAAATAAAAATGAATTGATGTTCGTTAGTCTGATTAAAACTCGAGAACGGCTGGGCCGATTGAGTTGATTTTGGTTTTAAATTGTTTGTCGTAGTCCAGGGTAGGTTTAAATGGTGAGCAAATACGCGCGCTATATTGTTTTTCTGTGACAGACAAAATTCCACGGGGGCGAAGCCGCGGGCGGAAAGCTAGTACAAAATAAATGTAACATGTGGAACTTAGTGCGCAGACCACTAATTTAAAATTTTGAAATTGTGTCATCTTATGGCAATAAATACTTTTAACGTTACTTTTACTTTTCTATTCTTGAACTTTAAACGTTAAATTTTGGAGTTTTGGGCCAACGTGGTTTGTTATCGACACGACAAGAAGAACAATAAGTTAAATTACTAACCTTCTTTAATTCTTCTGCCTTTCGAAGCTCGTTATCACGGCGTTGTGCTGCCAGTGCAGCTAACTGCCACTGTGGCCGAACCACCGGTCTTGACATTTTCTGAAATTTTAAGTTTCTATTAGAATCTTACACTTTGTGAAACATTAAGACTGAAATTGAGGTATGCAATATTTAACAAAATCACTGTTTGTTATTCAATTGGTAAAACAAAGCTAAAGCAATGTTAAATACTGATTCAAAGTTGGGTACCAACTGCAGTTAGAGATACCAAGTTCTTAACTTGACAAAGCACATTGGAACAGTTATGAACAATACCTTTCCAGCGAAAGGTGACACACAAGATGGTCAAGAAACTCAACAAAAGTTTAGTGACTCACTTGTGAGATCAATACACCTAGACTTCCTCGTTGCTAAACAGACTGCTCGGGTTATCCAACGCTCCAACCGTGGGTGTCGGTAATGGTAATTGAAACATACGAGGTCAGACACATTACGTCTTGCTCAGTTCATTTCCTAAATAAGTTTTATGGGCCGCGGTCACGCATTTAAATTGGAAATAACGTCGCGGTCGCGTGAAACTGACTTGCGAAAAACAACAAACATACGTCAAACTGACAGTTGCTAGGCAACCACGTTTCGTTTCGAGAAATCTTTTATGAAACCTTTATTAATTATTCTAAAAAACTTAACTTTTTTAAATTATAAAATTAAATGCCTTGAGCACTGTCATGATTTAGAAATTAAAAAAAAACATTTTTAGTGCATAATATTGCCGCTAGATGGCATTATATTACTGCTTTTTTAAGCATTAAGAATTACTTTAATTAAACCTTTACTTTTCCAGTAGATGGCGTTAATACCTGAAAATTAAATTGCATGAATTTGTTATTTTTTACTAAAATCCTAAGCTATTTTTAATTTTTCACAAGCAGATTCATTATTAATATGCAGTATGATGCACACAGGTGAAACCGTTCTTAACCCCTAACTAAAAGCTGGTCCAAATAATTTATGAAAGCGCCGAACAGGTAGATAGTGTAACAGGTAGAGCAGATTTCTACTAATCTGCACATTGCCCTTGTGGTAAAATATATTATGACCTGAGCGAAGGTAACCATTATTCTAAAAAAAAACACAAAAAATACGTCTTAAGAACTTTTTGAATTAGAAACACTTACAGGGGTAGGTAAGGCCTTTGCGGCGAAAAGGCTTACTTTACTCTACTTTACTTTGATAACAAGTAAAGAAATATGTAATAGATTCCGTAAAGCAAAAATAGTTTGCATAATACTAACTACGTAACTACATTTTACAGCAATAAAGCTTAAGTAAAATGTACATTAGCTTTTAATAGCTTTCGCAAAACAACCACGCCAAAGGCGCTCTTTAGCACTTAGAAAGCTCAATAGGTAACGATGCAGCTTCCAAAGTGCTTTAAGCTCTTCATTGAGGGCCCGTAAGCTCCGTACGGCCTTCAACGTGATAGCGGGTCACATTCCGGCGCGAGCGAGACGAAATGATATCTTCTGTCTCTACTGAACGTAAATGGCGGATATAGTATGGTGTTGCCAGTTTTAAGGCTGTTGGAAGACTTTAGTAGAATGTAGAGTTCTGAAAGTTTATTGTTACTTCAATTTTGTACTTGCAAAAGATCTTTAGGTCTAGGAACTGAAATCGATACTGTATTAGATATAAATAAGTGATCTTAACAGCTTTCTACTCCTATTTAATGTAGATGAAAGTAAGTAAAAAGAAATGTTTCAGTTTTGTTTAACGTATCCTCCTACTCTCTCAATATTTGAAAAAAAAAAATAACCTACCTAAGTTCTGAAACTATGTAAGTCTTGTAAGTACATAAACATTCATGTGATTAACCAAGTATCTATCGTATCAATTATGAATGAAAGCAATTAATACTTATTTCAAACTCTACAATATTCAACCGATACAAACTTTTCGTAAATGAGAAATGGACTACAATGCTAATGTTTTAACTGAAATATAGCTATACAAATATTTTATTGTTGTACACACGCGTAATATTTATAACATACAAAACGCTCGCTCGAAGTTATCACAAAATACCAAAGTTCTCTCAGTATTTTTTTACCAAGCGCTCGCTCTGGAGGCTCGATAAGGCTTCGTGGAAATAAGAGGTTGCCTAAACTGGCAGCACCGCGCCCGCCGGTCAGTCGGCTCGGACCTGCGCAAGCGCAAGTCGCGAACGAAACGCGACGCGATATCTCACAAACCAAACGATTACATACAACAAACAACTAAAATCCCTCCAAAACAACACACAGTGAACCAAAACAGTGAAATATAAGTGCTAGAGAAGCAACGACAGTGATGCAAAAGTAGCGCCTCCAAAATGTGCATGTAAAGTGGTGTACGATTGATATTTTTTGTTTGTCCGCCTGTGTAATAACCGTGGTCCGAAGCAAGAAATGGTTTTATAATTGGTCTAAATCAAAGGCAGCGATGGTAAGTTACACCGGGCTCCCCCGAACTGAAGAACATAAAACCTTTTCTGTGTGCGTGAGATCTCATGCGCATACGCCAGAGAAATGCTTTCTTATCCTTATGCTTTATGCGGTTTTTACGAGTTCAAATAAATCCGTCGTTCGGTTTTTAACTCGATTTATATTTGAACTGGTTAATTGGAAAGACTCCGATTTCAGGAGTCGAGAATAACAGTCGTTGGATCGCGGACTAGAAAGTTGTTTTGATGGGCTGCGTTGGTTATGTGAATGTACTATAAGAGCTTTGCGCTTGTAGATGTAACTATGTGGATTCAAGCTTAAAGTCCGCATTTATACCTATATCAATCAAGCACTTGCTTTAGATGAAAATGGACCTGTATATCAACTCTGCAATATCAAATAACAAATTGCCTATTCAATAACGAAAGTCATGGCTGAATTGTTAATGATTTCTATTAAAGAATACTCACAATAAGCTCTGTAAAAGTAGATTTTGACTGATAGTTCATTGAATGCGCGAGCGCAGATCTGCCTCGCTAACAAAAGACATCAACGCGTCAATTCTTTTTTAGAATAGTATTGTTTTTATCAACCAAGCATTCGTGCGCACAGTAATTGCAATTTCACTCAAGACCAAACTATTTTTGCACAAAATAACAAGTCTAGCATTATCAAGTAATATATTTATACATCGTCCAATTCGTAATAATTTACACATATTAAACGTAATTGATACGTCCAAAATAGAAGCGCACGAGTAATACTTACATAAAGTCCAAGTATTTTCTCTTAACATTAGTATTTATTACAGAAGAAAAACGTGAATCTTGTACCTAGAGGGTATAATTTAGTTTTTATTGAAACATCCTCTTTTAATATTCTTTGAAGGCTGTAATATAAGTCAGACATCATTAAAGGTAATGTCACCACTGCTGTGTTGGTGATTGCTATCCGGTTTTTCTTCATCAAAATCCAGAGATTGTTATCTCAATGTTTAATTTCTCACTGCTAACTACCGTTCTATCGGAAATAGAGAATAAATTGTCTTTACTTTTATTTATCGTTACGCAATGATTATGGTTTAAACGACTTTTATGCAGCTTCTAAATAATATAAGGTTCATAAAATCTTTCCGCTTTATAATCGTCTGTAACGCAAGACTTATTAAGCTTAAAAGCTAAGTTTTTATGTAAATCAATTAAAGAACTCGTAGAGTATTTACTGTGATATTGTTCACTCTTTTTTTGCGAAGGTTTTTTTCATGTTTAGTTCTTTTTATAAAGTTTTGACGATAATTTAAGTGCTATAGTTGCTCCAAAATTTATTTACCGAGTGTTGCGTAAGTTGTAGAGCATGGTATTTGTAATTGTAGTAACATTAAAGTTACAGCCACCTGTCCACAGTTGCTTCTAGCCACAAGCATCCAGGTGTCTCATTATAATTTTAGATACAAATGACAAAAATATATCATAATAAGAATTTAATAAGCACCTACCTCAAACTATGAGGTCACAATACAATCTTGTACAATCGACGACACTAATTCGTGAATGTTGTCGTACCTTATTGCTATAACTTAAGGGTCGTTTTAGATGCGCAGGAGTTGTTTTGTGAAACACAAATTGCTTCTGATTGCTCAGCACACGCCACCTGACGTGAATATAATGATGCGTACTGGATACGGAGTTAGAATTTGAATTTTCGAAGCACCTGGCTACTGTATAAGAATGGCCAGGGGGCATACGTTTTTGTTCAGTACACGAACTCAGACAAAAAACTTTTCCAAAACATAGTCCAGCATTATGGGCAATTATACACGCATTTTTTGTTTTACATCAATTTATTTCTTGAAGGTGATCTCTCTTTTTTATCACAGTTTGGGTTCTTATCGAAATTATAAAGGTAAAATAATTATAAGATTGGAGGTAGGTATTCAGTATGAGTTTGATCATGCCCGAAAATAACATTGGTTAATCAAAAAGTTGTTTACAGTGTAAAAATAGAATTAAAAATGTATGAAACAACTTTGTACCTTCAATCTCAGGCTTCTATATCATAATATAGAGTTCGTCCGTTCGCTCGTTTCAGCCAAATGACGTCCACTGCTGGACAAAGGCCTTCCCCAAGGCTTTCCATAACGACTAGTCCTGCACTGCCCGTAGGTTCCCGTCTAGGTTCTTCCCGCAACCTTCACCAAATCGTCGGTCCACCATAGAGTTATTTTCTTTTATAATATCATCGATATCAATTCCGAATTAAAAGCAATGGAAATGTAACACTTTGACAGCACTTTAAAAGCACTTCAGTTATTTAGGGTCCAGCTATTGCCACCCTGGATGTTTCTAGGGTTGGGCGACTATCATAAACTCGCAGAATATTGCGAGAGCTTTTACTGCCACTTTTATTGTCGCTGTAATCATAGCAATAATATTCTAGGAATAGAGTTCTTTGACTAATACTTTGTAACCTAAGAAGTGAATGGAAATTAACCCGACGACACATTGTAGTCGCCGCTGTAAAATGTTTCAGTCCTTTTTAGCACCAGGTCTATAACTCTACCAAAACGTAATGATTCATTTGTTCAGTGGATTGGTGCTATGAATGATTCTCAATTAAATGTACACCAAAGTAAAGCTTTTCATAAGCTTTAATAGTCTTCATCAAATCGTGAGATGTAGACGTCGTTACAGTTTTTAGATTTTGGGAGCTTCTGTAACCATTGGTCATTTGATTTTCCTTTACAATAGGTAATTCGATTATAATACAGAAATAGCAGGACCGTTTATTGTGGAAAACCTTGGGGGAGGCCTTTGTCCAGCAGTGGACGTCATTTGGCTGAAAACGAACGAACGAACAGAAATAGCACATAACATTATACATATAATTTTGTTTCTAATTCACCCCTATTACAAAAACTACATAAGAAGTGGCAGTCTGTTAACTAGCGAACACTGACTATAAGTACTCTTCTTGAAGAGTAAGTATGTCTAGTCAGTGTTCTTAGTTCTTCTAACCTAGTATTAATGCCCAAATAGTTTTGTTGTAACAAGGCTAGCTAATGTGAGTTAACAATTTAATTCAAGGCCGTACATTTTAATTTGAAAGTAATTCGTATGCAAACATAGAGATTAATGATTGGAGCAATCAAGACAGCTTGGTAGCTAGTTACATTGATTTTGACTAATGATTAATTACATTCACGAATTTGTTAGTAACTACAATTAACAGTGTTAATTTCTCTTTTCAGGTTCGTTTAAGAAGAAGATAAAAGAATCAAAATGTCGCAGAGAGACTTCTCAGAGGTATGTTTTTAGTTTTAAAAACGATTTTACGAATATCCTAAACATTTAAAATACTTCTAAGAATCATTAATTTTATTTGAATTTGTATTTTTTGTATTAACCTCTTCTGCTACATGACATTATGTCTATCAATCCACTATTTGTTTCCACAAAATATGAGTTATATTCAGATTTAAAGTCTTAACATAAGCGCAGTAGAGATAGGAAAACAATTTATAGAACAGCGTTCGTTCATTCTACTTTAATAGAATACAGCAAGGGATCAAGTACTCGTATTCTTTCAATAAGATTTCATCATCAGCACCAATCGTGCATTAACATCTACTGCTGTGGCATACAACAAAAGGATGTAGAAGGATCGGTCTGTCTTGTGCTTATGTTACATCATCAAATAACTACCAGCACGAGTACGAGTAGCGCTAAGATTTCATAATATTTTCATGAAAATACATATTGTGTATAAAGAAGTTATGAATAAACAAAGTAGAATAAGGCAAGTATTGGCCCGTAATCACGCCTGATGTTGAGATGCAGTCTAAGATGGTACACCTGCACTGTAAGTGGTCATTTACAGTGCAGGTGTACCATCTTAAACCTCTCTCCTTGAATAGGCCCGATCGATCAATCTAAAGTTTGCGTTCACATTGCAATATTAGGTTGGATTTTTTGGATTATATTAGACTAGCTTTTCTACCGCGGCTTCGCCCGCGTGGAATTTTGTCTGTCACAGAAAAATCTTAACGCGCTCGTCCCTGTTTCAAAAACCGGGATAAAAACTATCCTATGTCCTTTCCCGGGACTGAAACTATCTCTATGCCAAATTTCATCAAAATCGCTTCAGTGGTTTAGGCGTGAAAGCGTGACAGACAGACAGACAGACAGACAGACCGACAGATGGACAGACAGACAGACATAGTTACTTTCACATTTATAATATTAGTATAGAGATTAGTATAGATTTGTCACAAAAGCAATGTATCAACTTTTTACATTAGTCCCAAAAGCAATGTATCAACATTGAATTTGTTAACCATTGCAGTGATCCTTCTGTCCATTTTTATGTTACCACGGTGCGCGGGCGCAGTGCACCGACGTGTGATCGCCTGCGCGTGACTTGCAGTTGTGCTGCGCCTAAACAATACGGCGTCAGACAATACAAAACTTTAGACTGTGAAATTATGTTAAGTAGCTTATGACGGAGTAGCGTTTCCGTAGACAAGGCCCTTCCTGCCTTGAAACAAAAAAGTTTTCCTCTAGTTCGTAGTTTATTATTGACCTAGGTAAGTATGAGTATTGAGTACCTACGCGGTATGCCAATCAACCTCCCACGATTACCAATCCAAAATAATTTACGAAACTAGTTTTGCCCGGAGATCCGCTCGGATGGTATTCCGTTCAATTACCCCATAAATACCGTTTAGTTCATGACTTTATACGAGTAATCACAGTTCGTGACACCCAAAGTAGTCAAAAGTTCGCAACATACTATCTTTATTTTGTACTTGCATCGAATAAATACTTTTCTTTATTTCTTTCTTTCTTTACAATCGGAATAAGGTTTTGTTGTCAACTTTTTTGCCACTTTGGGTGTCACGAACTATTTGACGCTGACTGTACTTGATTTGTAAAAAGATTTAGTTGCATTTGATAAACACTCAGGCTAAAGGCTCGTACATATCATCGCAATACGTTATGTCCCACAGAGAACCCCTACAGTTAGAGATATGAAGTATGAACACCAAAACCGTTGTCAAACACATCGTGTTTGGCCACACGCACGCGTACTGCGTCCCATCCGTATTCACAAACGATGCTTGCTTAAGTGAAGCAGCAAATCGAACGCACAGCATTGAATAGAGTTCTGTGATTGTTTCGTGTCACCCTGTGCGTCTACGCGCACTGTGAGAGCTCATAGTAATGTTTGTGAATACGGGCATTAGTCACATTGGTGTTACTGTATTATAGATTTTATTCTTCCCTAGTCAGATGGAGTATCAAATATTTTTTCCTTCTTATTTAAAAATTAGAGTTCGATATAAATTAAATGTTGATTGATGAGAATGAATTTATTTGCAGTCGTGAAATAGTTTTACGTCCGTTATTAAATGAAAGAATGAAATAAAAAGTAGTCTTTGATAAATATAGCATTTATTTAGCCTTGGAAAGATTATGACAGTAAAAGCTCTATGATTACTTAAAGAAAAGATTAGCTTTTTTAAACAAAACACCAACTCAAATTGTTTATTTAACAGAGGTAGAAACATACTTCTAATTATGCATAGCTGTTAAATATGTAAACAAAAGTCGTTTAAAAGTAATTTATTTTACTAAAATATAAAATTGTTTTAAATAAACAATCATATTTCATTAATTTTTTCATTATGCAGTCATTTGTTTCAATAAATTGAAAATTGTACTGAAGTTAATGGCCTGATATCCTCCGACGGACAGGCTCTTTTATCTCGTTTACTTAAAAAAACAATTAGTGAGATGTCACCAAGTAATCATAAACGGATAAAGGCAGGACTATGCTTTTATAATTATTGCAAAAACTGCGCTATTAAAAAGTTATGGAAGCATTACGGCCGAGATGCAGTAAAATCATCTCCTGAACAAGTGGCTGGTAGGGTAACCATGTACTTAAGGACAAGATCTTTATTTGTATCAATGAATTAATGTAGTCAATAAAACGGTAAACATTTCACATGAATAAAAAACCCTAAAGAAATAAAAACTTGTCGTAAAACATGACTCAATTCTGTGTTAAACGATTATTTGTTCTAGCTTTAAATAGTCCGGAATAAACAAATCAATAAATACATTTATTAACAATCCATTACTGTCAATTTAAACGAATGGCCAATATATAACATTTAATTGGAATTCCTTTAATAACCTATATGAAACAGCCCATAAAAATGGCCGCTTCCCGCGTTTCCCGCGACAACTTCAATATTTATTCGCATTGATGAAGTGGACAAAAAACAAAATTGATCACTCCAATTGTCCTCTAATTAAGTTTTAAATATTCTACAGATAAAATTTTATTTTATCATAAAGTCGCGATAAGAAATCAGCGAATCCAGTTGCCAGTCGAATGTCCATTAGAACATCCGTTTCCTGCTAATGTTCCTTCGGTGGCCACTTCACTCGTATTGATGTATTTGCAAGTTTTTTTTTATTTAGGGCTGTAAGGTACAGACCTCTTAATTTAATTAATGATTTTGCGATTACAACGATGTATACCTACAAAATTACTTATGTCAAAAATGTTTGCCACACGGTTGGATAAGTTGTGCTGAAGTTTCGGAAAATCATTCACTTCCGGTCAATATTTATCAAGAATATTTTGAAAAATATAAAACAAAATGTGAGTAAATTAATTACCTAACTAAGAATATAATATACATTACGCATAAAATTCATATTTATGTAAAGCTATGTAAATACACGCAACCTTTATAAGCAAACAAGGCTTTTAAGTACTCAATTTCGCCACGCATTTCCCACGATTAATCAATTTAAGCTTTGTTTCTCTTTTTCCTATGCAAATAGTAATCTTTATTGATAGTTAAATTAATACAGCTATTCTCTTTCCCTTATTTTATGGGAACCCAAGCTTTCAATGGCGCTAAGTAAATTATGGGAACGCATAGAATACCTTCTGCATCCACATTTTACTGATTCGAGTTCCTCGGTTTTATCCAATGCAAATTATTCCTGTAAAGGTGAGTATAGACTAGAGTATTTACTTGTAACAGAATGACTTGCTTTATGATATTTTCTAGTTCATCGTCCTTTCACGAACCAAACGTCGAGCATGCTCGATGTTGTCGCCGTTTTGTTAGAACATAATTGACCGTTTAGGTGTAACATTTCATCCAGCATTTGCTCAAGTGTATTTCAACAAAGAGTGAACGAAAAGTTCGAATTTAAGTGTTACGAGTAAATTCACACTCGCTGCGAGCATTAAGCCGAACAGAGCGCCGAGCTTTAGCTGGAAAGTTAAATTACATGAAAATGCTTTGGAAACTGAGCTGTTACCTATTCGTACCTTTCGTAAGAATGTTACAAATGCTTTAGTCTAGTCTATACTCACTTAAAGAGTGGACGAAAGGTACGAAGTGTTACGGGTAATTGCACATTCTCTGTGAGCATTACGCCGAACAGATCGCCGAGTATTTGCAGGAACGTCATGAAATGCTTTGGAAACTGAGCTTCTACCTGTATCATACCCTTCGTAAGAACGTTACATTACATACAAATGCTCCATTCTGTACTCACCTTAAAATGCAAGTTATTGCTCCGCCGACTGCGACTGTGACTCTTTGCGTCATGGTAATTAGCTTCAAATTGCCGTGACCCGTCAATCGGATGATAAACGCGTGTGGACGTGCGCATGAGTTTTCCGCCGTCGAATGATACTGTAGCTGTAAATGCTGGTACCGCTTAGTATATTTTATTATGTAAACAGGTTGTAGAGTCATAGGAAAAGCATGAAATGTATGTAGGTACAACGAGTATTTCAAGTTTCAGACGAAAGTCAAAGCCTGATTCCAAATAAAATATGAATTTATCAGCCAATGATGAAATAAAACACACACAGAACCTAAACAAAAAATATTCAAATGTACTTTGTTTGTGAATGTGTGAATATCCTATGAATGTATTTCAACAATTTGGGCCTTATATGACAGATAAATTAGTATCCTTTTTAAATATAATTAATACACTCGACCACAAAGAAAACGGGTCTTAGAAAATCTTCTGATTCTTCAAAAGTAACCTACCTTACCTAGCTAGCTTAATGAAATGAAGATCATCGTAGTATTCCTAAAAGGTTTTTCTCACCTCTTATTGCATCAAAGCCATGAGGCTTTAACGCTGTGGATGACCACATTATGTATTATTCCAACAAAACCAATCTCTCAAATACCTGCTATCAGTAATTAACATCTATTAATAAAGGCCTGGAGATACAGGGGGCTGTTAATTGCCGG